AAAAGACCCACAGCCATAGAACTCTTCCTTTTGAAACCAGTGGGGCAGATTTAGTTGCAACTGGCTTGCTCCTCTGATTCTCACAGCACTTTTGTCTGTGTAATGGGACTGTGTTTGGGCCACCTACCAGCTGCCATTCCACTGTGCAGTGAAATGAGTGGCGATTGGATTAGTGGCCTTAGGAGTCTTCTGGCTGAAGGGGGTCTGGCTCTTTCCTTCTCTCTGGGAGGACAACAGAGCAGCTTATAAAGGGCTGGACCAAGTAAATGGAGAAAGGGGCCTGCCAGAGTCAGTTAAGCAGTCTTCCATTACAATCATCACTGCAGTTGCTTGAAAGTAAAGCATGTTGAAGTTAATGGTCTTTTCTTTTGACTAAGTGGAAGTAAGATTGTGCTGTGGTGTAGAGAAAGATTCAAACAGGTCCTCTTGCTTATGTCATTGGTGAAAGAGGCTGGTTTAGGATTTCAGGGGTTGGCTCCTCACTGCCCTTTCAGATTGCCGAGTTCACAGCCTGAAGCCTCCTTTTAATAATGTAATAACCATCTTTTCAAGTCAGTTCCAGGTTATGGCAACCCATTCCAATATTTTCTAGGTACAAAGTGTTCACCATTTGCTTCTTCTGGGGGTCTGTGCAGCCCACCCAAAGCTACACAGACTGGCTTTTCTCATGAGAAACACACAGTGGGGAATTGAACTCCCAGCTTCTGGCTCCCTTACTGAGCTGTTGGTTTTAAAAACTTTAGGGCTTTAATCAACTGTTGGTGACCCCAGTGTTCATCTCCTAAAGATCTCACTAACAATTAACCGGTTTGTTTTTATTTTTACCATGTTTCTCCTCTCTGTGTCTCAGCTTGCCTAGGGCTGGCCCTGGTCCTCCTTCACCCCTGCAGACTCTTGCGTGTAGGATGAAGAAGGGGAGGAGAGGAGCTTCTCATACCTAGTCTGGAGGCAGGCAGACGTTGTGCCACATGGACTCTAAATACAGAGCCAGCATCTGGGCTCAGGACTGTCAGGTATTTGTTGAGGGCCATGTTGTACAACAGCCAACTACCAAAACCCAGAATCCCCCGGCCCTTTTGTTCCTTGTCTCCCTTGCAGTTACTTTCAAGTTTTCCAATGAGCAGTAAAGAAAAACAGTAGCAGTAGCTGGCCTGCACATCTGTCTGGAAGAAGAAGGCAGGTATATAGGCAAGGTCATGGTAGGTACTGTACGTCGCATGTGGCCCAAGGACATCTTTAAGCCCAAGTCTGGAAAATGTTGCTTCTTGGACTACAACATCCAGAGTTCCACCACAGCCACATACCTTTCTAGTTGTGGGATTCTAGGTGTTGTAGCTAGCTAGCAAGCAAGCAAGAAAGAAAGAAGAGACCTTTTTATGCTCTGCTTGACCTGAAGGCATGCTGCCTACAGAATTTTGACTTGGAACAGGTAGCATCCATCTAGGGTAATGGACTTAAAACTTTCTGGTTAGATTCTGCCCCATACCTGCAAGAGTTAAATATAGAGTGGCACTGGGCAACCCTACACTTGGATGCCGTTGCCCAGCTCACTCCTTTGAAGCGATCTCCAGCTAGTGCAGGAACAGTTCCAGAGATGCTCGATACTTTTGGCGTTGTTTTTAATGGGATGTCAAATTTCTTGCCTTCCTGCTTGGAATGCCTGCTTGTGGGACACAAAGAGTTCCAAATGGAAGGCTTTTGTGCCCTTTAATGTAAGTCAGGCGGCAGTAAGGCTTTCCTCCAAAGAGCTTTGCTGGGAGAGAGTGTAATTGGTAGCTTCGGCCATTCTCAAGAGGAAATACACATCCGATTCCAACCTGTTTCACATCCACAAAATTGCTGCAGTGAATCTGGTGATAGCCTGAGTCGCTAAACCTGGCCCAGAAATGGAGCTTTTCCCTCTTACATTCCAAGGAGCTAATGAGGGATTAGTTCTAACAATTCACAGTTCTTCCTGGCTAAGCTAAAGATGCTGAAGAGTTCTAAAGAGTTTTATTTTTCATGCCAGCCATTCCCTTTGTTACCAAAGATCTTTTTATTTCTGCCTGCTTGCATTTCATAAATATAGTTTGGCTTACTGCCTCCTTTGCAACTCTGAGCAGCAGCAGCACAAACAGCAATTTACACAGCGGCTACTCAAGTAACACTCAGAGGTTTGTAAATCATCCATACAAATTTGGCCCCAACATGAACACAAGAAAGTCAGCAGACCAGCAGCCTCTAATTCCCTGACGTTTCAGGGCCAAAACCTGACATCAGAGTGTGGGGTCCTTCTGATGTCACATGGGTAGAGTGGAGAAAGATGGGAGAGAGAGGCCAGAAATGCTTCTTAGGCTTGCTGATGGCAGAAACAAGCATGAGGATAATTCAGTTATGGGCCGAGAAGCTGGTTGAAATTGAGCTAACCAGGCATAGCAACCTAAAGCCAGAGGAACATGCTAGAGAGGCTTGGCAGATGGCAAAATTCACTTGACAATTGTAGACATTGCTGCCCTACTACTACAACTCACATCCTGCGTACTGTCTATCTGTCTGTCCATCCGTCTGTCCATCATCTATCTATCTATCTATCTATCTATCTATCTATCTATCTATCTATCTATCTATCTATCTATCTATCTATCTATCTATCCATCCATCCATCCATCCATCCATCCATCCATCCATCCATCCATCCATCCATCCATCCATCCATCCATCCATCCATCCATCCATCCATCGCCTTTCTGCCAAAGTATCCAAGGCAGCTTACAGTATTGAAAAGGAACAAAGTTAAAAACCAATTTAAAAAAATAAATTATTACAATATTTAGAAAGAACTAAACAATTACCATATTAAAAATTCATAATACCCTGTTTCCCCCAAAATAAGACCTAACCTGAAAATAAGCCCTAGTATGATTTTTCAGGATGCTCGCAATGTAATTCCTACCCTCAAAATAAGCCCCGATTAAGTGAAACCCCATCTTCCACCCTTGTGCAGTAACCAGAAGATGACCCGACTGTATTTGAATAAATGTAGATTGTTGTACATGAAAAAAGTCCCCTGAAAATAAGCCCTAATGTGTTTTTTGGAGCAAAGATTAATATAAGGTCCTGTTTTATTTTCAGGGAAACACGGTAAGAACAATATTGAAAACCCAAGTACAACGCAGAATAAAATGTTCCCTTTAAAAAATCCCCTTGGCCAACCAGTCATTTGCTTGCAGAAAGAGAGTACAGAGAGGGCCAGTCTTACCTGGTGGTGGTGGTGGGGAGTTCTAAAGACTGGATGTAGCGTCCCCACCAAATGCACCTGTGAAGGTGGTGGGACTGAGAGAAGGACCTCCCCAATGACCTTAATGCTTGGGCAGGCTTATAGAGGGAGACATGTGGTCTTTTAGTCTGGGGCTTTACAGAGAATGGGATGGCCACACAATTCACATGCTCTCAGTATGGAACTCTGGTGTAAAGCGGGAGATTGTGCAACAGGAGTGTGGATGGCCAAATGCACCGTGATGCAGAGCTGACAGTGCCAGGAACAAGTGTTCTGTTAGGCTAGGTAATGACACTTCAATCGCTACATTCAGTCACAAGGTTTGGTGAAAGGCAACACAATGAAGTTG